TGAAACGACTTTTAATCTAACCCCTCTGCTACATTAACAGATACAGTGAAGGATATCTTATTGGGAAACAGATTAAACTACCTCACACTGTTGTCTCTAATGTCAGGCTAAGAATTCTGGCAGAACGGAAACAGATGTGCTCTGACCCAGTGATGAGTTACCTTGAATTTACTTCAAGGGAGCGGAAAAGGAAGATGAAGGTTGGGCCCTGATAGTCCTTGTTTCATTGTTTTCAGGAAAAAAATCACTTCCTTAGCCTTTAACACTCTGCATGTAACCTTTGACATCGTTAAGTAACAAGCTCTGGTCATGTAGCTATATCTCTATATGTAACTTTTTCAGAAATCTAGCCTAAAAAACTTTCCTTTGAAATAAAGTATTTTTTCATTTCATCTATTGAGATAATTGTCTTAATCCTCTACATTTAGTTTGTAGGCAACTTGTAAACATAAGCTTGGTACAAAAGGGTATCCTTGGAAATAAATAGAGCAAGCTTTCACAGCCATTCACAAGTACAACTAATAACCTTTAGATAATCCTTCATTTGTGCCACAATTTGATCCACCGAAGAGTTGTAGTGTCCCAGGGACACTATGGAAATCCTAGTTTATTAAGCCATCATCTTTTTAAATTACGTTTTTGAAGGGAGGAATGTCTTGGGAGATATAATAGGCAAAGAAGGTTGCTTAAAAATAAGGAACTGATGTTTTCACAAAGCAACTAATTGAGAAGAACCACAAACTTATTCGGAAGCTGAAATTCAGACCAATTACGGATGGCAGGTATGTGAAAGTCATTAAGCCTTACAATAATCAGGCTAGACAGATTATTCCCAGAAACACCAGCTACATGCCCAGAATCAGATTCCTTTTCTTAGGATATTAATAAACTTGAGAAGATAAAATCCAGAGTAATAGAAATTTTACTCCTCAAAGTAAGAATCATTGACTTAATGATACTGCAGACAAGCAAGCTACTACCCATGCTTTTGTGATAGCAGCAGCAGCCAGTACTTCTCCCATGTGCTAAGTAATGTGCGAAGTGTGGCAAATGTATTATCTCATTTAAGTATTTGACTGAGTTTTAACTAGGTATTTTCCAGCATGATCTATAGTTTCTCTTCTCAGGTGGATACTATGTCAAAATTTAAAAGCACACACATTCAATTATAATGGAACTAGGGGACTTCCCCATTACAGTTTATGAAAAAGACCTCATCAAAAGGGCCAAAAAATACTCTTACCCATCCACAGCACCTGCTGAGACTAATGTATTCTCATCCTGAAAGAGGACCACAGTAACACTCTGCTGGAAATCCTAACAGCACAAGGAAGAAAAACAAAAGAGGAAAATCCTGTTCTCAGTATCATAATTTTCATCATCATGAGATCGTGGTGCTAAAACAATGGCTTTTCCCTCCAAACTCTGAATTAGACTAAATCCTCTCTCTCCAAAGATCCTAGTCAGATATATGCTGACCAAGAAGTAGTTGTAGCAAGGAAATTACCTAAATAATGACCATGAAGTAATAATCAGGAGTGTTATTAACACTTTTTTCTTGTACTTAAGAAATGAACTGGTGATTAAAAGATTTCATTTGTCTAAGCCCACTAGTTCTTAGAATCAGTCCTGCTAATAAGCTTGTATCCTTAGGAAGCTCAATTAACTTTTCTGTGCCTGTTTTATCTGTAAAATATCATAATCTGCCTACTCATATAGGACTCTCTGAAGAATTATGGATAAAAGATAATTACATGCTCTGAAAAATTTAAGGGAGCTCAATGGCATTTCACCTCCTAATTGCAATTAACAAGTCTTCTTGGTTCAGAATCTGATTAAGTGTCTGAAATGTTACTCCTTTAAATTTCATCTAGCCTCCAAAGACCATATGCTAACCCTGTCAGTTTCCATTCATGCCTATGTCCTGTTCATGGTATACAATTTCTTTTTTGGTATCATTAATCTACAATTACATGAAGAACATTATGTTTACTAGGCTCCCCCTTCACCAAGTCCCCCAGACAAACCCCATTACAGTCACTGTCCATCAACGTAGTAAGATGCTGCAGAATCCCTATTCGTCTTCTGTGTTGTACAGCCCTCCCTCCCCGTGCCCCCTCCCCACATTACACATGCTAATTGTAACACCCTCTTTCTTTTCCCCTGCCCTTATCTCTCCTTTCCGCTCATCCTCCTCAGTCCCTTTCCCTTTGGTAACTGTTAGTCCATTCTTGGGTTCTGTGAGTCTGCTGATGTTTTGTTCCTTCAGTTTTTCTTTGTTCTTATACTCTATATATGAGTGAAATCATTTGGTACTTGTCTCTCTCTGCCTGGCTTATTTCACTGAGCATAATACCCTCTAGCTTCATCCATGTTGTTGCAAATGGTAGGATTTGTTTTCTTCTTATGGCT